TAGTTTCATAGCTCTCTTTATTCTATTGCATTTATTTGTGCTGTTGTTTGCAATTTTTGTATTTGTTCTTATTTTATTAATGACTTTTTACTTTTATGAAAATAAAACTTAGTTTAACTTATAAAAAGTAGATTTTTGTTTGTATATGCTGTCAATTATAGTTCTTAGAAAGAAAATCGGAATAAACAAAAATCGGTATCGGCAGATCACGCTAACAAAAAATCGGAAATCGGAATCGGCCAAGAAAATTGCAATCGGTGCATCTCTACTTGTAACAACACTTGCATATTATTGCTCTTTTGCTGGTTTTGATTTCTTCTATTGTCCTCATTTGGATAAACGCGTCTGCTAAATGACTAAATGTAAATGTACTTAAAAATTAAATTTAATTAAGATATAATTCCATGTCATGATCAAAACATTATCATCACATGAAATATTTTCAGTAGAATGTTTAAAATTAATGTGCAATTAAAATTAACAAATCTGCATTTTAGTGACACTTTTTAAATTAATACAATTTAAAGCTTCAAATATTTATAAAAACATTATTAAATATTTTCATCACATGAAATGAAACTCATAAAACTATAAACTAAAAAACAAAATGTTCTGTGCACACAAATGTTACTCTTATCATGGAATAACACTAACACATTTTGGAGATGTAAATTCAACAGAGAGCATGCCAGAATGCAATTAACATGTTTACCCTTTTTCCTCATTGAGTTTGACTCATTGGCATACCCTAGTGGTTCATGTCTGTTCCTGTAGCATTTTTTTTGATATAGGCCACATGTTTTTCTGCTGTAGGGAAAAAATCTGCTTTCCAGCACATGAATAGTTAAAAGATATCTCACCAAGATTTGTTGCCAAAGTTTCCGCAAAAAAAATTGGAAGTAAAGGAGATACACGGTATCTCTGGAGGTCTAGCGATGATTAGAATCAGCCCTCACATCCCACACAACAAAATGGCATCCAGCTCATCACCCCAGAGTTGAGCAAAGCAAACACCGAACTAGCTAATTACATGTAAGTTGAGTTATCACATACACTCTATATTTTAATGACTTTTCGAGCAATGTTTAAGTTCAAAATATTGCAGTGCTCAGCCAAGATTGGAGTTATGGGATTTTCAGTGAAGGGAGAGGTTTGGATATGAACTAAGGGGAAAAAACAAGAAATGTAGTTGATAGAGTAGTATATAAAAGAGCACATTTTAAGGTTATCCAGTGAATGTTTTAATTTAGCATTCTGTTCCTCACTACTCGCCTTCCCCACCTCAGCTAGCTTTAACACGCTAAAAGCTTGTTTTGTTTTTCCTATTGAGCTTGCCAAACATGGCTGCAGTGTTTGCTCATGTATGTGTTTACCCTTTCGATGCATCTTTTGTCACTTAGCATGATTACCACCCACCAGCTGAATGGCCGCCGAATGGCCAGTATTTAGCGGTCTCCGTGACAACTGCTATAGCACGCTTAACCTTCATCGCTTACCTCTCTCTGGGATAAACAGCCATTCTATTTGCATTTCCTATCCAGTCCTCTCAATCCACATATCATCCCCTTTGACGAGTCTTAAGGAAATCTCTCCTGTGCAAGGTTCATTTGTTCTGGTCTGTTTTGACTTTGTGCTTCTGGCAGGCTGATTGAATTCAGTTTTGTTAAACTGTCTCCCCTTATCTGTCGCCATCACATGATCTGATTGCTTTCTTCCCTTCTGCTTTAAGTGACAGGGCTGTTTAGAGGTGCCTGACAACTGAGACATGCAAATTAGCACTTGACGGTGTCTTAACGTCATGTTACATTTCACATTAATATATTTATTTAGCTTGAGATTTAGCCTATTCATGTTTTCCTCTTAGCTCTGCGGGGGTAGGCAGCTATGTGGTGTTGTTTTATTTTATTTTATTTTTTCCCTCAGGGAGCAAAAATATAGTTCAGCTGTGAATTATCTGGCTCTTAAAGGCACAGTTCACCCCAAAAATGAATACAAAAATGTAAATCAAGTGTTCCATAGTAGAAAGAAAGTCATAGAAGTTTAGATAAGAGTGAATACTGTAAATGATGACGATTTTCATTTTTGGTTGAACTGTCCTATTTAATGATATACATTTTTGCTTTGGGTCAAGTGGTCAAGGTCTGTAGCTTCCATTTCTATTGCAGTGGCAGCTCATATCACATGGTGATCTCATCCACAGAGGGGATTTGGACCAAGCATGTGTAACATGAAAACAGACAATCTCATGAAGCACACACTATGCGGGAAAGAGAGGGGGGAAAAAAACACTTTCACACTCTGCTGGATATTCACACCCACTCTAGCTGTGTTTTGCCACCTGTTCTTCATTGTGCACTCATGTAAGTGTGAGATTGTGGGTTTAGATGATGCTGGGCTGCATCTCTGCGTCAAGGAAATGGACAGTGGTTCCATTTTTTCGTAATTTTGTCTATTAGCTCCACTAGTGCCCAGTGCCTTTATCTTATAGCATAACCGATGAGCAAAATGATGCAGATGCTTCATATTATTTAGATTTAGTGTACAAATATCTGAAACCACTAATGAAAATGCTTCTATTAACATATTTTTTTTCTAATTTCATAGTTGTTTTTCATTGTTAATTATATTATCACAATTACAATTTGAGTGAAATATTGATTTGAAAAATGTAGTTGATATAGAAGATGGATGGGTGGATGGATGGATGGATGGATGGATGGATGATCATATGGACAATACATAGATAGCATACGTGAAAGGATGGATGGATGGATGGGTGCTAGATGGTAGAAGTTATAAGATGGATGATAAATGGACAGATGAACGATATATAGAGAGTAGAAGTTATAACATGGATAGATGAATGGACAGATTAACAATATATAGAGAGTAGAAGTTATAAGATATTTAGCAAACAAGATAAATGGGTGGATGGATGGATGAACATACGGACAATATATAGATAACAGATGTTATAGGATGGATGGATGCTAGATAGTAGAAGTTATATGATGGATGGATGGATGGCAGATATTAAGAAAACAGGAGATAGATAGATAGATAGACAGACAGACAGACAGACAGATAGATAGATAGATAGATAGATAGATAGATAGGCAGATAGAAAGTTATAAGATGGATGAACAGATGTACAGTATATAGATAGCAGAAGTTATCTGGATGGACGGATGAATAGACCTGCCTCTCTTTCATTCTCCAACTTGATCTCTCTTTCTCTCTGTCCCTCCACAGTCCAAAGCCAGAATCTCATAGCGGACAACGTCTCAGTAGTGGAGGGAGATACAGCCACCATAAGCTGTCGAGTCAAAAACAATGACGACTCTGTCATCCAGCTCCTCAACCCCAACAGACAGACCATCTACTTCAAAGACGTCAGACGTGAGTACACATATTCACACGGCACACACAGACACAAACAGGCCGCTCGTCCCCAGTGGAGTGGAAGTGTTAATGCATTAGAGTAATCCACTGTGCTTTTGAGGGCAGCCGATAGAGAGACCCAGCTGGCTGGTGAGGGCATGTTTTTTTTCAGCGATTTGCCTTGCTCTCATGTGATCCGTCTTACCCAAGACCGCTCTGATATTTGCCTACAGCTGCACTGTATAATTATAGCTGAGTCTTTCTAAAGGGTTTCATTTCTCCCACCCCTCTATGAAATATTGCACCTGCCAGTCCTATGTCATATGCAGAAAAGCACTTTGATGATGGTATTTTCTTTGCGCCAAAGTTGCAACAGGAAGCATTTTTAAGTAGTTTCAAAGTGCTTTCGAGTTCATTCTGAGTCCAGTCTGGCACATATCAGGTGGTTTCAATGGACATGGTGCCTGTCTCCACAAACGGTCCCCAGAAAGGTCTGTCCTTCTTATTTCATCGCTTTTCTCTGAAATAATGATAAGCTTCTCTGAGGTGCCAGACCGAGTCATTTTCATCTCCTTCCCCATAAACGGCACTGTGGTTAAAGAGCGTTCCAGTCAAGGGGAGTGAACGGGAGAGCCGTCAGTCGCCTGAGGGACTGTCCTCATCAAGTAACGGTTAAAGTAATTGTGTGCCCGGTCCTCTCAGAGTTTGGATTAAGGTCTTCTGAACCGTCATTTTATCTCTCAGCTTCCAATCATTAGCAAGGCTCAGACTCCAGGTTTTTGGTCCGTGCAAGGCTGTAATTATCGCCTGTCTTCTTAATAAAACTTTGATGGGCTCTTCTCAAAGTAACCGTGGCCGGTAATCAAAATTGATTGCTGCCATTTAGAAGAAGCAGCATGTGTCCTGGAGCCTCTAGGATTAAACCTGAGAAAACAATACAAATGAGATTCGGAAGAGGAGCACAGGAGCAAAGGAAAGGAAATGAGACAGAGTGTGAGCAAGAGAAAGAGAGGGAGACGCCAGCGCAGATAATAGAGGCAGCCGTTGGCCATTGATACACAAAGTTTTTCTTCAACATCTCATTTCTGGTTGCTTAGAGCAAGTTTCAGATTGTCCACTGTCTGCGCTCGGTGGATTGCAAAGGAGTGATCCAGGCCTGTTTTTCTTGATTTATCAGTTTAATTGTTATTTACTTTAATTGTAATGCACTTATTTTTAAATAGATTTTTAATATTGTGTTTACATACTGCTGCAAATTCAGCTTTGCCATTACAGGAATAAATTACACATTAAAATGTAGTAAAATAGAAAAGAGTTATTTTAAATTCTAAAAATATTTCTCAATATTACTATCATAACATTGATGTCAAGAATTTTTGTGTTTTAGATTAAAAAAATATATAAAATTGTATACAAACGGAAAATTACTTGTTAGTTTTTGAAAAATAAATAAACAAGCAAGGCTTTCAGCTCATAAATGTCTTATTTCATTAAATTGAAAATGTTGTGTATATAGCATAAACTGAGGTAGAGTACATATGGCCAAATTTTTCAGCATCTTTTTGCTTTTTATCAAGTTTTATTGTTATGTAAACAAGTGCAGCACATTGTAAACATTTATTTTAACAGAAAAAAATCAGAATTCTTTTAAACAAGCAGTAACAAACTCCTAATTTGCTGCTTATTAATAGTTAGTAAGGTTGTTGTTAAGTTTAGGTATGGAGTAGGATTAAGGGATCTAAAATATGGTCATGCAGAATAAGGCATTAATATGTGCTTTATAAGTACTATAAACTAATATGCTAGTAATATGCATGCTAATAAGCAACTACTTAATAGTGAGACCCCCCACCTAGTGTGAGCAGAAAGCAACATTTATTTATTTATTATATTTATTCCACAAAGGCCATTTTACATGACTCACATCAGGACTTCAACGTTCAGTGCGTGCGCTGCTTTGACCTCCACATGAATGACAGTGCAGCTAGTGATAAAAAGGGGCAATTTACGAGGTCACTGGGTGCAAGACAGTGTGATGTGTAATTTTTTTGTTGCTTTGTACTCTAAAGACCCTGACAAACCAAGCCGGTGGACAGATGTCAGATGTCTGGGACTCATGTCAGGGCTTCAACGATCAACCATGCTCTGCTTTGACCTCCAAGTGAACGACATTGCAGATAACGTTAAAGGGCGATTTATGAGGTTACTGGGTGCAAGAAAGTGTGCTGTGTTATTTCTTGTTGCTTTGTGCTCTACAGGCCCTGACACACCAAACCAACGTACAGTTGGCCGATTGGCCGAGCATGCTGAGTAAGAGCCGGGCATCTGGCGAGAAAGACCACTCTGATTGACCAGTGCATGAAAAGAATAGTGATAAAAGCGAGCAAATAAGTATAAAGTCAAAAGTGAACACAGAGGCTGTTCTAGTTTTACATATTCATCTTACGTGGTCATTCCTATACGCTTTTATTATCATAACGATATGGCAGTCTGATATAAAGAAAGTGACGACCAACTCAAGCTTCTCTGGCTGTAGTCTTTGTGGAATTTTGGCATGTTCAAACTCAACATTTTGGCTTCAATTGACAACACAGTTGACTTTTGTCTCCGCTAGTTTTTTATCGGTTTGGTGCATCACTGCCTTAAATCATCATTGGTGAGGTGAAATCAAACTTAAGTGCAAAGTTGGAACTTTTATTGCAAGAAAAGACATTATATGCCTCAAACTCACTGTCCAACGTTTATTGCCTGCAATTCAAAATGTCACTGGCAAATAGGTTCAATAGTTTGAACTTTGGCAATACAACTAGCTTACTATAACTTCACTCCATTGAGTTTGATGCGTTGGGGAACGTTGCTTCATGTCATGTGAAAGGGCGTTAAATGCTCTCTAATATTGATTGTCTTGTATGTCATCTTTGGAGACAAGGTAGATTTTATTCAGAGAAACCTAAGACAAATTTTATTCGTAGAAAGCATTTTGTAGCAGCAGCACTATGTAGCAGTGCATGATATTTTAAGTCTCCTATTTTCTCTGAAATGTGCCATGCTGAGAGGACACAAAGCTGTGACTGTTATTTCACATTGTCTTTTTGTTCTTGCTGCATACTTTTTTTTTTTACTTCCTGAGCCTTTCAGATTCATGTATGGCATATGCTGGCCATTGCATATATGCCAGTCCTCCTATGTTACGACACACACTCATTGTGACGAGAATTAAAACAACGAACAAAGACCAGCATCACCGTTCCCCTACGCCTTCTGCCCAAATGAAACTCTGAGAACATAATACAGGTTAAAGCCTTGTAAAAATCCCCAGCAAATGAAAGACGGTTTCAAAAAACAAAAAAGGAACACGGACTGCAAAAGCATTTGTCCAAGCTTTTTTTCAGGGTGATGAGCTTTAAAGGGTTTTGTCAGGCAGGGAATCTGGTTTACTGGGCAGCATGCCCTCAGAAGGGACCGGAAACCACGCTGAGCTTCATTTTCCACCGCTCCCACAGCGCGCTGGATGTAGCTGGCTGACAGAAACGTTCCCACTCACGGTGGTGGGACAACCTCCTGGGGCCCCGCGAGCTCTTGCTGTCACTGTGTCCGGCTCTGTGTCCGAAAATGCTACAGCAAGCAGCAAAGGGCATGTACACAGTCAGACATGCTGTTGTTATTTGGGTCACAAAGCGCTGTTTTTTTTTTTTTTCAGTTTTGACTTTGTTCATCTCCTTTTCCAAAAAATAAACCAGAGCGAGTATGTAAATTATATCTGGATGTCCTGAAGGCATATTATTTTTTTTACAACTGCCTGTTTGTGCACTTTACATACTTTTCTCATTTAAAGTTGATATGAAAGCAAAATTGACCCTATTTACCCTTTTTCTGTTCTTATTGGGAATGAATAATTGGTGCACCTTATCCAAACACCTCTAACTTCCCATTTCAGATGGCGCCACTGATCTCTTCCCTCCAACCTCAAATTTTTCTCTGCTTTTTTTTCTCCTTTTTCACTCTAAAACATGGGTCAATGATGTAATAAAATTTATTATCTGGATATATATTTATTTATTTAAAACACAATTGTTGTGCTTTGAATACATCTGTTATATGATGAGCATGTTTTTTTTTTCATTTTAAATTTAAGGAATATCAAAAATATCAGGCCTGGCACCATTTGTTGGTGTCAATAGCCTCGTGGGCAGCGTGTCGACATATAGCGTTGTTGCGCTATGGGCGTCCTGAGTTCGAACCCTGGCTCGAGGACCTTTCCCAATCCCGCCCCCCTCTCTCTCCTCCACTTCGCTTCCTGTCATCTCTACACTGTCCTGTCATAATAAAGGCAACAAATGCCAAAAATAAATCTTTAAAAAAAAAAAAAGGATTGACACCATTTTATCTTTTTATGACAGAGCAAGTTTAGTTCAGGTTTTAAATATCATGAATTAATTCAAATTAATACCTTGAAAAATGTTTTGAAACTTTTTTGACCTTTTTTTGACAGTACCATTTGACCTTTTTTGACAAGGCAAGTTTAGTTCAGGTTGTAAAATGCATGATATAACTCCAAAAATGTAATGGTATTTATGAATGAATAATTCATGATATTTAAAAAAGGAAATACTTTGAAAGAAATATATATTTTTACTTGGCTTTTTATTTATTTATGTATTCAAGTTATTTTTTTCTTCTGCTTTTTTGTCATGGACACGCTTACTATTCATTACTTTTCTTACTATTCATACCCACATGCAGGTGAAATAGGTCATGATCGATGCATCTGACATTCCTCAATTCTTCTCCAGAAGCCTGTGGTCTTTCTTTACCTCCAAAGCTTCCCCGGTTTTATTCGCCTCACTGATATGGTCTCCCTAGTTTCTTCTTGCCCTCTCTTTTCCCCATTAGAGCTGACACCGCGCTTATTCATGTTTTCATAATGCTCTAATTATTGCTGTCTCTCCACCTGACGCACAGTCACAATAGATTATAAACCGGCTTCTTGCTCCTTATAAGTTTATTTTAATCCCCACATTTCCCCAATCAATAAATTGAATTAAATCATTAGCTTCTGCCTGCCCTCCCCTTGACAGCCACATTCCCGTTTTCAAGCTGGCCCCTCTAATTAGTCGCACATTACGCAGCGGCTACATGAAAGGCGCACTGCTTGGTGTTTCAAAACAAAGAGCACCTCAATGGCTGCTGAGATCATAGCGCTGCTGTTGGTCCATGCATTTCTATTTGGGCGCGTGTGGCTTTATTACTCCCAAGCTCAGACATGTACCTGTGTAAACTGCGCACACACTTGTGTTGAGAGAAATATAGATGTGAAAGCTACATGTGCAAGATGTTTTATTTATTTGTATTTTCGCTCTGAGCTTACGCCGCACTGACATCATGATCAAAGGTGAGAAATGCGTTGCCTTGGCAGCAAGGTCTTCCAGCGCTGTCTCCATGTGCGTGCGCGGTGATCTGTGAAAGAAATGGACTCTCTGCATCTCTCACGCTGCGGATTGGACGGGGGGCTTGAGGGGGCTCGCGTGGGGAAATGCAAGTATAAGAAAGCCCTACGTAATAGAGAACGGTGAAGATCTTTATCTTTTTGCGGAGCACACAGAGAGGCTGTAGCCCTTGTAGAGCAATATGTTTTTTCTCTCGTGCACGCACATACTCTCTCTCTCTCTCTTTTGAATGAAAGCGAGAGCATGGATAACCAGCTGGATCCAAGAACAATCAACACCCCGCGCCATCAGGGCCTGCTTTCATGATCCCATCGCCTCAAAAATCTCGAATGATGCCCGATTATTTCTTTATTTATTTCCCCTTTTAGTTCTTTCTTTCTTTATTTATTCATGGTTCTCTTTTTTTGTGCGCCTTTGAATTTGACTGTTGCGGGCAAGAACATACGCATGCGTGAGTGCTCTCGGTGTCGTAAATGGTCTGTCGATCGGCCTGGAATTTATCCGCGAGTGGGGGGCGGATGTGGGTGGGGGGTGCCGGTAGCCTTTCATCTCTCTCTCGCCCATCTCTCACTCTCTATTTCACCCTCAGCACCATTTACTTTTCACGCTCAGCCTCCCACACCGGCAAAGCGAACCCTAATGGACTCCTCGTTATTCTGGGCCGAAAGGATTCTGTTCCTCCTCGTAATTAGGAGAGAGAAGCGTAAGTTTGGATCGGCGTGAGATTCTCGCAGCCGCGTTGGAGCTTTCAGATCTGCCTTTAAACTGAGGAAGTGTCAGTCATATTTGATATAAGCATACAGGTGTCCCAGTTTCTTCAGTTTCTTCTTTTAAATATAATTAGCCTATTACAACTCTTTATTATTTTTATTTTATTATGTGAAAATCACATTGCCTCTTTTCAAATGGCTTTTATATAGAGAGATTGTGTACTTGAGTAATGTTTTCAGTGTCAATCAAAAGTAACCTTGAAAATGTCAAAAACAAAATATTTAAGTATTTAAAGGGATAGTTCACCAAAAAATTTATCTTTTCCATGTTAATCAAGAGATTTTGTCCTAACCAGGCCTAACTAATGGTCACACGCGAAATTTCTATTTTAGAAACTGTTTCTATTTCCGTGACATCACGGCTGGAACAACAACATATAAACTATATAACAGAAGATAATCTCAGGTAATTATGTGCTTTATTCAAAGTTAAACGTGTTTAAAAATTCTTAAAGTTATTACTTTATTAAAATTTAAACCTAATATGAGTTTCAATATAATTTTGCGTGACCTTATACAGCCATGCTGAAAGCAACAACAGGTAGTTTACTTCAGATCTTGAAAATAAATGTAAGCAAATATGTACGTTAAAACTGCGAACTCAATGTGAACCAACAAGCGTATTCCATAACAAAGATGGTATCAGTCACTAGGTATGTACATTTTATGATTTTAAAAAGGTTTTACATTTACATTTATTTTCGTTGCGAGTGCAGTGCGCTTCCAGAGAGAGCTTTCCCACACTAGCTTTTGATTGGCTGTGATATTTGATTTTCTGTCGCATCGCGATTGGGTGTGGACACCCAAATTGCTTGTCGCGTCGCATGTAGTTAGGGGACATTGGTCTGGGGCGGTTAATAAATGCCTTCCGAAAGCAAACATGTGATGTGTTTGTGTAAGAAAAATATCCATATTTAAAACTTTATAAACCATAATATCTAGATTCCGCTAACTGTCGTATGCATGTATACGAGATAGTGGCATTCCAGTGGATGACATAGGATGTAGGTGAACGAAGAGAGAGCAAAACAAACAAATTAGAAGTACAAAACGAGGTTTTGTAAAGAAAAATGTCAGAGGGTTTTCGATATAAGTCAAAAGGAGACTGGTTTTCCTTTGCTGTAAACAAAACTTGGTTCTCGCAAGACTAGCATATTCTCACCAGTGCTTACGCTACTCCTACATCATCCGCTGGAACTCCACCCTTTCATGAACGCGTGTACGACAGTTAGCAGCCATTCACTGCTATTATAATGCTTGGAAGAGCCAGGACATTTTTTTTAATATAACTCATTTGTTTGACAGAAGACAGTCATATACACCTAGGATGACTTGAGGATGAGTAAATTTTCATTTTTGGGTAAACTATCCCTTTAAGATATGTAAAGATGTGTTAGCTATGAAAGACAAAGTCTGCCATTTTATTCCAAAAATGTAGTTTCCACTACAGAATGTTATTAAACCAGTTACAGTACACAATTTGCATGTATATCCACTGTTGGACATTGTTCGTCAAATTGAGTGTATTTTAATGGTGTATATTCGCTAAAAGTCTGCAGAGACAAAAGTGTCTATGAAACACCCACATACTGTACATGCTCACCACAAAGCAAGAACTTTTTCCTCAGAGGTGTTCAAATGAAAAGGCGCTTGGGTGTCACAGTGGTCTAGTATGGCATGTCCCATGGCTACTGTCCCTGTTTTAATACAATGCTCAGGTCAGACGATGCCAGAAATAGATGCACCCGTGGTCCTGAGTGTGAAGTGATCTCAATCACCTTTCAACTAATCTGAAGAATATATTGTAGCCTGCACGTTTGTTAAGCTCCCATGGTGTCAGTTATAAGCAATAGCTTAAAGAAGCATATGGCTGCCTTTATTTGCTTCAGTGGAAACACAATTTAGCCTTCAGATGGGAAAAATACTGCTAATTATCTCCTACATGTTTCTATTGTTGCTTGCACTGGAAGCGAAGTGCTAAAATTTGACTTTTCATTCTATCATCTGCTCTCTTTCTTTTTCAACTCTCCAGCCCTGAAAGATGCTCGATTCCAGCTGGTCAATTTCTCAGACAATGAGCTGCGTGTGTCGTTATCCAACGTGTCTCTCTCAGACGAGGGAAGATACGTGTGCCAGCTCTATACAGACCCCCCACAGGAAGCCTACGCCGACATCACTGTGCTAAGTATGAACACTAATGCATGCATGTACAAAACATACAATACACACAGTAATTTATATTTGTTTATAATTTTATATACTCAGCTAGACACCATGTCAGGTTAAAAGTAGTTCAGCTTTGAGAAACATGTCTTAAGACACTTGTGTTTTGCTCCACCTTTACATTCAGATCAAGTTAGCCTACATTTTATATTTTAAGCACAAAAGAAGCTGCATATTTAATATATAGGTTTAAATTATGGCTTTACTTTTTTTTAAATACCTTAAATAAAATGCAGTTATTTTAATTCTCCCATGGCCTCATAAATTATTATTATAATATACTCTTGTCAAGTTAAAAGTAGTTCAGCTCTAAAAATAACTCATCTGAACACACCTGTGTTTTGTTCCACCTTTGTGTCCAGGTCAGGTTGTAGCCTACATTTCATGTTTTAATATAGGTCTAACTTACAACTGAAATATACATATATATGGCTGTGAAAATAAATCTGCATTGTTTAACCTTTTGATCGTTCATTTAAAAAAAAATCACAATCTCATTATGAAATAAATGTTTTCTCTGGGGATGTTTTCAAATTTGGTCCTTTTAAGGGGTTTGAGCACAGTTTGCTGAATTTTTGGTCCATATGTGAACGTTCCAAACGATCTCAGACCCTTTTAAAGCGCTTTCAGATATTGATACAAAAGCATGCATTGTGAACACAAACCGCTCTGGGCTCGCTTGTTTTTTCTGTCAGAGGGAGTCAGGTTATGATTTTTTCTTATCTGTTGGTATTTGATAGAATCCATGATGCCATGTACTGTATCTGAACAAGCTGTCCAGGACTTCCAGCAAAAAAAAAAAAAAAAAAAAAAC